ACACTTTACTTACGGTGCCTACTGCTCGCTTGGCTCAATTATCTATCTATTCAATCTATCTGCAATTATATCTCCGCTTTATTTGCCGGGCTTATATATTAAAAAAGAGGGTATCTCAATCAGACTAGAGTTGCCCGGCAAATTCATGATCTATCGAGAAACTCCAGCACGCAGGCTCCCAGCATCACATGACTTCTGCTGTCGTAACAATATATTGAATTCTTAATGCTTATACAAAACTTTTGGTGATGTAATAATGAATACTGTAATAATATGTGATGTTATAAATAAATTGTAAGAAAGTTAGGATTTTTTGTGTTATTTATAATAGCATCCACCCACCCATACATTTTTTAAAGTTCATAACCCAGACATAGGACAGGTACCTTAGCTTGTATAACATAATTCACATTTAATCTTTAACAAACTTTTTTAACGCATTAAATCATATAATGTTGGTAAAAGGCTTTAATACATAAAATATAAATTCAGGTATTATACTGGAACTTAAAATAATTCTTTGTTATGTGTTAAAATTAGAGGCATATAAGACTGAGGAAATTACCATCCATTTTTTACATGAACAAGCATGTGTTAGGTAATTGAGAGCATGGATAAAGTCTTAAATTGTTCCATCACTTCAGCACTCATTGTGCTCACAGCTTTAATATTCTCAAAATGTAGTTTTTCTGAGCTATATGAAAAATATTAACATACCACAAGCAACAACGACTTTGACAAAAAACATTAAATTTTATAATGACAAATTATCAGTTCTTATAGCATATCACATCATGTCCATTATTTAATTTTAGCAGCAGAACATCTGTAATTCATTGACTTTACCATACTGGAAATTCCAATAAGTTCAAATAGGTTGTCACATTCATATTATTCACAATTGCTGAAAGAAACTATTCTGATACTGATGTACCGTGTTATTTTTTTTTTGCATACAAACAATTCATGCAGTCTATTTACATTGTGTGTTCTTTTGACACTAGGCCTATGACATAACCTACAGTATTGTACAGATTTAAAATATTTTATTATTATTATAATTATTTTGCACTCTGATCTTAGTATATGAACTTAGGACTAACCTAAATCTCAAGCTAGCCAAACTTTGTGAGGTATTATTCAGGTTATGACCAAGTATCAGTAACAGTGAGGGTGACTAACTGATGACTGAACAAATTTTAATAACATGATTTCATTTTATGACACTGCATACTTCTACTTAAGTTAGTGTATCAAATTATCTACATCATACGCCTTGCTAGGCACACAAATTTTCAGCGTTTCAGTATGATATCGATCATGGTTTTCAATTCTGATGTTTTGAGGCATTATCAAATAGAATTGGGGCATGAGCCCCATGTACCAGTGCCTAGCAATGCATCTTAGCTATATTATTTACCAAGTTAATGTTTAGTTCTGATTTATACTGGTAGCTTGCTTTGATGAGAAGTTAGTGAAAAAACTAATCAAATTCTGATTGAGTAATAATGAGTGGAGGCAAGACCATTACTTCAATATGCACAAAATCTGTTGGCAACCTTAGTTAAGGTATTTCATTTATATACAGAAAAGTTCAAATTAAAAAACAAGTAAATCAAAATATAATCTTAAATATAAACAAAACATTGCAAAAAAACACTGTCTGAAGTACAATACATTGAGTTTATTGATTGGGCTACTTAATTGTTAACTTTACTTTTAGTCATCATCCTACTACAATTCACATGGTCTGGCCAACTTGGATTCAGGTTGGGTCCAAATTAGCATAATGGATCCAACACAAAATAATCTTTTTTTAAGAAAGTGCTATTAACGTACTATAATAGTCATACAAAATAATGTATTGTATAGCTAACTTAATCAAAAAAAGTGCTATTAACTTACTATAATAGTCATACAAAATAATGTATTGTATAGTTAACTTAATCAAAAGAAGTGTAAAACATTTTTATTTGAAGAAAAATAAATTTTTTGCACTCACCAACAGTTGAAAAGGAGGCTATAGGTTTCCTTGGGTCTCTATATTATAAAATAAAACTAGGTTACATCAAAAGTTTTAATTCCTTTCCTATATAAATATTTATGGTGCTACTATAGCTTGTGGTCTACAAAGATACTATCATCATCATCACCATTTGAACTTTTGTTTATTTGCAATTGGCACCAGTTATCATAAATAATGCTTTTAAACTAAATATGTGTACAAAATACCATAATGTTTTGGGGGCAAATATAATCGGAATGAAATGAGTTCCAACAATCAAAAGTAGTACAACTATAACCTAAATTTAAAGTACTCTTTTGGAACACTCAACTTGTTAAATTATTGTTGCGTCAGCGAGGTCATGTGACTAGTGTCACGCCACCTTTCTAGAACTATCTCATTCCTTCAGGAGTGCTCTAGCATTTACTAGATTGGGGGGGTGGTCTGGTATATATATAAGATGGTCACAACGTGATGTGACAATAATGTGTGTAGACAGTTAGTAATTAATCTGCAGTCAGAGAGTATTATTGAAGTTGAGCACGTTCGTTGTTATAGCGTTTGTTTTAGCGCAATTGTTGAAATTAAGTGTATCGTAAAGTTATATTCGTAAAGTTTTATTAAGTAAGGAATTGTGTCGCTATAGTTTCTTTGGAATGAATTTACGGAAAATTAAAGTCAGGTTTCCATCAAGTAAAAATGGCTGAAGCAGATAGACTCAAGACAGCATTTAGTTATGGCCAAGGTCTCTGGAAATACCGAGTGATGCCATTCGAGCTC